GCCTTGGATAGCACTAGATTGAAGAAGTAACTTTGGAGAGTTTTTGTTCTCTCTTTTCTTATAAGCTGCCGTTGCGCTAGCATAAATGTTAAATCTGTCAGATAGAAATATGGCACTTTAATATTTGCGTGCATAAATGTTTGATGAGAACAATTTCCGTAGAATCATTTTTTAATCAGGATTGGATACTGGATAATGTTACTGTGATTTGGTTTCTACTTTTGTGGTCTCGAAGTTTTTCCTATTTGACTTGATTTGCATGCTGAAAATTTTGGTGCTTATGGTATGAGGAGTGTTGTATTGTAGTAGTTTTGTATTCGTGGAGATATATTTTGATTTGCATGCTTTTCTAGTCCAGATGTATTTTACTTCTGAGTGAAAACGATTGATTTGCTGTTCCTAACTCGTCAATGTTATTGGAGTTGGTACTTTCTAAATGCAAGAGAAAGGTTCGCACAAAATTAACTAGATCAAGAATTTGTAAATCACCTATTGAGTTTGTTCTCATAATTTGGTCTTATATTTTGGTGCATAAATAATTTATCAATACAAAAATGAATGTTTTAAATTTCAAATCAAAATCTAAGATTTAATTCATGAAGAACAATTTATATCAAAACATTAAATTGAGGGTTATCTTGAATTTACTCCTCTATACAAATGGGATAACCTAAGATTTACTATTCATGCTACAGTAAATGGTACAGTAGGATTTATTGTAGTATTATTACTGTAGCATTATTTCTGTAGCAAACATGAAATTGGACACCTTAGGGGTTTTAAAAAATATCACTGTAGCACAAGGGAATATCGTAGCACTACAGTACAAGGGAATATCGTAGCAGCAGTGCGTACTATAGTAATTCAAAAATTACTGTAGCGGGGGGAAAAAATTATTTCGTGCTTTGCACGGTGTTCACACTAGTAACTTATATCAAACGATTGTGATTGGGTTTTATCAGACTAGAAGGTATTGAATAAATTAATTAGTTACATAAATAATAAATCATGAATGAACTTTGTTGTAAACCATATCTATATTTTTTTTAGCAAAATATTAAATATCATTTGTTTCGTTGTTGTAAAGTATGGATGCTTTGTGTGATGTTAACACGAAATTGTCATGACTTATTTGTTATACGAGTACTGATAATTAACCCCTCTTTTCAAATCACTTCTGAACTAGAACATTCAAATATTTACATTATTTTTATTATTTTTCTAGAGACCCTTCACATGGTACTAATTCTATTATATGCACGTAATGGGTCGAATACTTCTCAGAAATTTCCAAAATCCAAATATATCGGACATCTGGATATTCGGGTGACATATTTGCATTCAATTCCAAACCCGATAACATTTCGGATAAGAATCGAAAAACCCAATCACCATCCCAAGGTAAAAAAACCCGAAGGTTTTTATTTTTTAATTAGCCCCTTAAATTATTGAATTAAAATCATTCATTTTTAAGTTATTCTAAATAATTAAAATTGTTATTAGGTCACCTAATTCTTAAGATATTTCCCATCTCCCCTTCAATCTAGAACAAATGCAATAATTGGAGAGATTAATCTGAAATAAATTATAAGAATTTGCGATCTAATCGTTAAGTCCCATAACAATAGATTTTGCTTGGTAATCCCTCTAATTTTCATCTATGCTCTTGATTGAAGGATCTAATTTTTTGGAAATAACTTAGTGATTGGAAACCTAATACAATTTCAATGATTTGAGTGACTAATTTCATAATACCTTAAAATTTGAGTGACCTAACTCCAATCTCAAAGATTTGGGGCTTGTTTGGATTGAGGGGAATGAGGATGAAGGGAAGTTAGGGGAACCATTCACCTCCATTCACCTTGTTTGGGAACACTTAGGAGGTGAAATTAATTCACCCTAGTTCCTCTTGGTTCATCCCCTAATAGTATAAAATTTATTACCCCCCAAATTGGGGTGTAACCAAGGAGAAGGGAACTCCCTTCCCTTCCCTTCCATTCCCTTCTCTCAGTTTTTAACTTCCCTTCACGCCCTACAAATCCAAACAGGCCCTTAAGGGACTAATTTCACAATATGAAAAGGTAAGGGACTAATATCGAAAAAACCCAAAACCCAAATACTGCTACAACTCCCCCAGTTCTAAACCCTTAACAAAATCTCTGAAACCCTAGAAAGCTTGTAACTCACAATGGAGACCCCATCGGCTGCAGAAGA